TACTATAGTTGGCCAGTCCATAGTTTGATGTATTAACCTGTGGATGCTGTGGCTGTCTCAACATCGTCCCCTATTGGGAGAGGGTCGGCTTCTTCATGATATATCGGCGTGAAGGATGATTGCCCGTTGCCGGGTTCTGGGATATCGGTTTCTTGCGGGGGAGGGGTCATGTGGCTACTGAACGTTAATTTGGAAAGATTGTATTGGACGTTCAGTGTCTCGTTAGATTAATTTAATTCAACAAACCAAAAAAGAAACTTAACAAAACAAACCCACGTTGATGCGCATCACCGCAGCTGTAAGTTTTTTACAAATTATGAATTTATGAATTTTAAGTTTTTGATTAATAATAAAAAGAAATACAAAAAAATAAGTGTCATTGATTGATCCCATAAGACACTCTTAGACATGTTTTTATAAAGCCTGCAACGCGAGACACAAAAGTTAATCTTGTTCATAAAACAAGTTAGAAAAATCTATAAATTTATTTTTAGGAAAATTATTAAACTAATGAAAATAAATCTGAGGATAAATGGTTGCTTTCGGTTCTACGCAACGTTTTGAGGAGTTCCCTGAAGAAGTGAAGCCATATATCCCGGCGTAAACGATGTCCATTTTATGCAGATACTCTAGGGCTAACACCATCTCGCCGATATAAATTTTCACTATATCCTCCGAAAATTTCGAAATATTTTGAAGATACATAAACATATCATGTTACGCCTTTTACAAGCGGAGGGGAATGATGAGTGCTCTAGATAGGAGCACTTTTTCAAAATTTTTTTCAATTTACTTTATTTAGCAATTTTTGTGAACATAAGAAAATCTCGTTTTCTTTAAAAGTCCACCAATAAGTGGACTGCTTGGGCCAATTTTTTCGTACAATTTTCATACATACATAGAAGAGAACCACGACCACGGTCGGTATTCGGCGAGGTTATATATTCATAACCTTGCATTATTATAATAAAATAGATTCCTAATAAAACCGTGAAATTGTTGTTTAATGAATCTGAGGAATCGCTAACTCTTGATGAACATGGGAGCGCAGCAGAGAGGTAAACAGTCGCACTAGTTATCCTGTTGGTTTTTTTTTTTTATAAAAATGTTCATTTCGAGCTATACAGTTCACGATGAGTAATGTGAAAACCATAAGAAATCTTGTCCAGACTTTGTTGCATTTCGAAGGATAATGGTGGCGGGTAGATTGCTTTAAATCACATCTCCTTTATCTTTACGTTACTTTATAGTTATTTATTTATTTATTTTTGGAATGGTTCGGGTTATGTTTGGAAATTCATTACATTTTAATTGAATATTTTCATAAATTTTTCTTTTTAAGGTTAATTGTAAAATTAATTAATAATAATTTTCTGTTAGAATAATTATCATTTTATTTTTTGTTAAATAAACTAAGTAAGTAAGATAGAATTTGAAAAGAATATAATTAAAGAAAAAATGACTAAAATTATTAAAAAAAAAAAAAAAAAAAAATTACTAAAATTATTTATTTAATTATGATTGAATAATTTAATTTTAAAAATTTGAAATTTTTGAAAATTGTATGTGTTTGAGAAAAAACATTATTTTTGTTTTTTTCAAATTTGATCTTCTATTTAATTAATACGATAATTAATTAATAATTTAAATTTTTTAGTAATTTATAAAATTTTAATATTTATAAATGAAATTTATATTGCTAATAATTGTACGTTATTGTGTATTTAAAATTTACATACATAAATGAATAAAAACTAAAAAGAAATGAAAAGCAATTCATTTTTAGAGAGAAAGAGAGAGAGAGAGAACGGCCAATCCCACCCGATAATAATTTATGACTTGTTAGTTCTTTCTCCTCATGGCTTTGTTTTTACGTGTGTTTGGTTTAGGAGGAATGAAGGCCGGCCTATTCGATATAATAGCAAGTAGCTCCTTGTTATACCCTACACTATAATAATGGTATAAGGATATGTACAACTGTATTATTCCGATTAATTTTCTTGTATTCAACCGCAAATGTTAAGTTATTTTTAATGAAATTCAATACACAGAGGTGTCTTGCTGCAAAGACGAATGCTGTTAAAAATGATTTGGACCACTTTCTCCCATATAAGTTCGTGTTATATCGTACAGCATTTGTGATACAGGCTATGGTAAGTTTGTGCGAACGTATGTAATACGCAGAAGCACGTGACTGCAACAAGCATAGACCCCACCTGTCGGAGCTTAAACTAAGGATATTATTGTAAGAAAATTCGAAATTCTGGTCCCGAAAGTATTCGATCGGAAAAACACAAAAAAAAAAAAAAAAAAACCATTCAAATTGCGTAAGTTAAGATTAAGGCTGAGTTTTTCATTTTATAAATGTACACACGTATACATACATTATAATAATCAGTTTCTCATTGCATCATATTTAAATTAGGAAAATTATGGCACACAGATGCAAAATACATTGCGAGGAATTAGCTATGAAGTAAGAATGAAGTAATTCATGTCTGCGATGTGGAAAACTGCGAGAATATATCAAACACACATTGCTATGCAGAAGATAGAATCGCCTCGTCAAGTGGTGTGGTTTTGGTGTAATGTGAAGAGCACGATCATGGTCTAAATAAATAAAGTTCTGTTCGTTGCATCTTCAAGAGCATATTCCTAATAAGTTAAACCAATTTTCTTTAGAATTTTTTAGTCCTTAATTTTTACATATTCCTTGTATAATTAAAGGTAGATCCTTAATGCTAAGCAATAAATGGTCAATGCATTCGACGATTATTGATATACGCGACAATCAACTTCAAATTTGCCAGGAAGATTGAAAATTCTTGCACGCAGGTTGGTATGAAAAATGGACCAAATCGGTCCAATAACCGCCTATAATACTACGCAAAATGCGAATACCTATCTGTTTTTCAAAAGAATTAAAAAATTGCTTTTTTACTCATTTACTCATCATAAACTCTAGTGCAGATAAGTATACAAAAATTTAAAAATGTTTTCTATCAGCAATGCTCTAAGCATCTCTACCAAAACCGAAAGAATTGACCACGTTTACTCAGTTTTATGTAGAGTGTCACTTTCAATATTTTTTCTTTTTTTTTCAAAACCTTTATAGCGCTCACAAACAAACTTGTCCGTCTGCCCAACGCGTTCGCAAAAAAAAAAAAACGTATTGCGTACAAATTAAAACTTTTGAAAGTAAGCGGCTGCAACGCCTACACGCCTACGCGATAATATCTTTCCTTTTGAAAATAGAAAGAATCAGCCGCGCCCACTCTATATTACAGAGCATGAAAATTTAGTTCTTTTAACTTTTCTTATCATTTTTTAGCATAACGGTGATGGGTATAAAAGATTCTGTCCCGTCCGAGTTGTTTTTCCTTCGTACACATATACTTGCAGGTATACTATAACGTACACTTCACATAAAAACGCACGATTTGTAGGCGTACGATACAGTGTGACCTCAAACTAAAAAACAACTATCAAGAAGAGAAACAGCAAGCAATTAAGCGGCAGCTAATGCAATAGCGCTACATCTGTTAATTTAGGGAAAAAGATCAAAGCTCCTTCAAATTCAAATCGGCATCAATTTTAAAAATAGAATTGTATGTGACCCTTGTATTTAGTCCTCCTTAGTATTACGTAATTTGCTTCAAATATTTTATTTTCAAATATTGAAAAATGTATGTACAGTCAATCTACTAAATTTTATAGCGCTAAATATGCAAGTTTTTATTTTAAAATTCGAATTAATAAAATCTTTAATGTATTTTCGAAAACGGACAGATTACTTTAATTCATTTTTCGTATGATTTGATTGCCGCGCAACTTGTTACTTATTATTTCATTTTTCATGAGTTCATAAGCGTGTTTTTTTTTTTCGAATATTTCTATATTCGCCAACAAAGAGGAATGGTGGTGTATTCAGATTGCTCAGAAAGAAGCTTCAGAAACGTTCAGCATCAAAATCTGAAGCGTTCTAAGAGCCTTCGCTCGTCCACCGGTATAATGCTTGTGGTAAACATAAAATGAAGCCATCAGTTTTAAATTTGGCAAAAACATTGGATATTGGAAAATGGACCAAGTTGGTTAAAGGACACATCTAAGTTGCAATAGAGACACGATAAAAATCTATAAGCATATTTTTTCTGCTTCTTTTTTTTAAAACTATTATTATTGTATGAATCTTATTTAAGATGTTCTTTTATACACACCTCCCATTAACTCTGTCATCGTGCATATAACACGCCGTAGCTTAGGTTCTAAGTTGACTTAGATTCGCCTATCTGCATCTGATGTTTTATAGGAACCTCAAATTTAATTAGAAAATTTAGACTTAGTAATCCTCCATTTTAGATAAACTTTCATAGATTAAACAGAAGAGTGCGACCTGCTTGTAAAAATCAAAGAATTTGGATTTCATTTCGAATCGAAATTGTCAAAAATTGCACAAAGCAGAAAAACAACGCAACACCCTTATTTCAGTACTTGGAGATAGTTTGGATTGTCCCTTTATCACTGATACGAACTGCTCTTTACGAGGTAATAATTGCATTTTTCAAAAATGAATTCAAATATATATGTTACACATCATCATTTTATCAGGAGAACACCATAGTGTTAGCTAATGGCAACTAATGAAATTTCTGAAGAGAAACTCGTGAGCAAGAGAACTCGCGAGAAATAACATACAATGCTTCCGACTAAACATCAGGCAAGATGCAGAGAACAGATTCAGCGCATGTAGTAAATTTTTTTTTATTTTTCGACTTTCTTTGAATGTTTTGTGCCACCAGAGAGACCAAGACCAATATCGTGCTTAAAATTTTCTTACGCGCAGAAAATTTTGACATACAAAGGATTGGAGATTTAAGAGTCGTATAAAAGAATACAAAACAAAAGTATAGCATCTAACTGCATCTCCAACCAGTTGCAGTACTATTATCGCAAGGAAATTAAAATTCATTGGAAGTGGTAAATGTAACTTTTTTTTTTTGTTCGATATATATTTTATTTCTAGGATGGCTCTTGAAGTGTCGTAGTATTTGCGATACTATTAGTTATTGGTAATCTTTCTGGATGTTGGGAGTTCTTTTCGTTTATATTAAGTACTCGCTTTTTCGGCTTTTCACCTAAAACTGCAGCGACTGCCGCTACCGTCGTACCATGATCTTTAATCATGTGCCGAGATAGACCTCTGTAGTGAGCATATGTTTTACTGCATAATTTACATACACTCTTTTCTTTACTATGGACGCTGCGATGTTGAAATAAAAGCTTTGAATTAGTGAATCCTTTGCCGCATTCATTACATATGGAATCACGTGTGTTACTATGCACTTTCAGATGCCAATTCAGTAGTTTTTGCTGCGTAAAACCGTCACCGCACACGTCACAAATGTATTCCTTTTCATATTCGGGATGATTTTGAAAATGCAATTTGAGTTCTTTTTTACATGGGAAGCCTTTCTGGCAGAATTTGCAAACAAACGGAAAGTCCTGAGTATGACGCCTCAAGTGTATAACATATCCCGGCTTTTGAGTAAATTCATATTGACAAACACGACATTTGAACGGTTTACTGCCATCATGTTTAGCCGTGTGAATGCGAAACGTATTAATATGATAAATAATTTTTGGGCAGTGCGAGCATTTAAATGGACCCAAATGCGGCAGCAAGAACGCTATATTGTCATAAAATCGATTACTCGATTTATATATTGGATCCGCAGCTCTTCTACAATCCCGTTGTTGTTGATACTCTATTTGGGATTCTTTTTCCTTTTTTACCATTTTATGTATGAAATCAATTTTGTTCTCAACATCAGTCAACAAATAATTTAAATTTAATTTTTCATTGATTTGTTGGCACATGTTTCTCAGCGCTTCCTGGCGACGCTGTTCAGAATTATAATAAATATCCTGTTCATCCCATAAACAGCTATGAATTTTATAAATTTCTATTAATTTTATAATTTGATCGCTATTCAATTCAGGTTTAGCTAAAAGTTGATCCTCCTCCATCTAGAAAGAATTTTTTTTTTTAATTTTGCTTATGTCTATTTTACTTTCATCATTTACCTCCTGGATGAAGGGTAAAGTAGGTTTAAGAAATTCCATTTTTTCATAAAACCATAACGGTTTATAATCATCTTTATTAATGAACTGCAAACGTATGCGCACCTCACGAATATAACGCACACGCAAATATTTGATAATTCTATCAACATCCTGGATATTCACGACAAGTCCGACTTTTTCCTTCAGTTCATCAGCAATTTTAGTCAAAGCCCTTTCCCTTTTTTTACGACAACGATTTACCAGCTTGGGTGGCCTAGTGCTATCCCATAATTCATCTTGCTGCTCATACGCAGCCAACAAAATCAAAACGTTTTGACGCTTTTCCATAAATTTATCAATGTCAAGTTCAGTCGACTTCGTCTTCTTCGGTAATTTAAATTTTCTATTGTCATTCTCATCAGAACATTCATCAAAATTATCCAAGCTATTTTCATCGTCATTGTATTTACAATAGTTGTGTTTTCGGAAATTGCTGAGCTCACCGTCATATAGTTCATTATCACTCATCGACAAAGAATGTTCAAACTGTTAAATCAAATAAATAAAAAAATAATAATAATAAATACGTAAATAGCTACACAAATAAGTAAAAATAATGAAATGATTATTTAGGAGAACTATTACAGCTTAAGTGGTCAAGTAATTCCGCGAAACATTGGCTATGCAAGCTTTTGTGTGAAAATAGTGATTGTAGAGAGCCTATCAGGGCATTTTTATTATATTAGTATTATGCACGTTTTATAAATTAAATACGTTTCTGCAATCATATATGCTTACAAGTATTATTTATAAGTTAATGACTGCAGTTACTGAATGTCAATGTCGCTTACCCCACAATTTTCAGCCTCATCATTCCTCAAAACAATATCACCCAATCCTATGTAATCCCGACACGCTCTAATTTTTTCTGGTGGTTCTTCTTTCAGTGTCCGATGCTCTGGATATTTTGCTTTTAAACGGACGCTGTGCTCTTCTTTGCTAAAATAAGCCTTCACATTTTCTTGCATTTCTCCAACCAACATTACTTCTGGTTCTTCCAAAGGATCCATGAAAATATTCTAGAAATTTTCAACGAATTAATATTGTATATGTTGCACTCCGAATAATACCTTTTCATCTTCTTCTATGTAACCTTGATTATAACAATTATCAATTATCTTTACATCTTCATCTTTAATCGTGTTACTTTCAGCTATCTCCAATTTAGATCCCGTCATGTGTTCATGATTATGTCCATGCTCTTGCTCAATGTGTCCAATAAATGTTTCAAATTGCAAGCAAATTTCCTGGCATAATAGACATAATAAAGCATAATGCTGATCTTGTTGATGTTTACCAATTATTGTGGGTGATTTGAGTATTTCTCCACATTTTTCATAGTTTTCATATGCACCATCATAATTGGTTAAACTTATGGTCGCCATATTTTAATTCAATTTTGATTATAGTTTTTACAAATTATTTTTCAATAATTGCACGAACATTGAAAAAATTATTTCTAATTCCTATTGACATAAAACAAAAAAAAAAAAAGACAGTTTTTTATATGCCGTCGTTCACAGCATATGTTGTGTTTTAGTTAGTAAATAAAAACGTAATACAGGGTTGTTAAGTTGTTTAGAACATGGAAACCTTTTAATTATTTCAACAATCTCTTTGTGAAGGTTGTAGCTTTCGAGTTTGTTCGATTCCATTATTGTAGTTCTTAATACAATTAGTGCAATACACAAATGAATGCCTTATAGAATTTTCAATTGTAGTCTTGAACTTGGAATTGTAGACTTACAATATTCAAGCTATAAATGACACTCCTTAAATTGTAAATAAGTACCTGCTACAATCTTTAAATTTTGTCACTTATATATATAGAACTCCTTTGTAACTTTTAAATATATATATATATATATATATTATGTATATAAATGTGGAGGTTAGCTCTCGATTTTCATAGATCTCCATTTTGCATATATATTGAAAAGATTATAGTGCCGCGAGCACTTAATCGTTAATTATCATTCGGGTAGGTTAATTTGTCCTTTGGAGAATTAATTTTTAAATTGAGAAATGGATAATGTTTTTGTGGCATATGTTACATAAATTTTGGGGAGGCTTTAACGTTGCGATTGCAAAAACACCATTTCGGCTCCTGCTTTTGGAAAAATTAAAAAAATGATTCGCAGATATCGAAACGGAGGTTTCCGCCTGGAAAGTCTATCCTGCTCAGGGCCACCTTCTGATATTGGTGAGCGTCCTAACGGAAGAAAAACCAAAAGAAGACCTGAAGAGAAAAATCTCCAGTATTAACTCTGTAACCCTGTAATTGCTATTCACAAACAAGCGGCCCCAATTCATTTCTCTAAATATATATATATATAGACTTTGTAACACCTCTAACAAATCTAACACATTTCATAATTTCAATGCGTGTGCGATGGTTACCAAAAGGTTTGGCCTATGCAAGTTATAACTTAATTCCTTTCATCTACGACTTTGTCAATTTAGACATATTCGTAAAGGTAAAGATACAAACTATAAACTTTGCCATAAAGTTTAGATATGAATCTCCTTTGGTTAATCAAAACAGAAGCAATTTATAACCTCCTTACGCAATACGCAAAATTGTGACATTTGTAAACAACGTAAATTCTGAATAAAGTTTAAATTTTTATATATTTATTTAGGTGATGAGTATGTAAGAATTTTTATTTTAGGTTTCATCTATTTACACTAGGGCGAACGTTTATAGTATATGGAAGAATAAATTCTTTAATTTAATTAAGATTGCAAAGTATCCGGACCTAAGGTTTAACGCCGCAAGTTACAGATTAAATATCTGAGCAGTTTGAATCTTTAATAAACTATTAAAGCCTATTTCCAATCTTTTTAGATATACAGGCTAATCTTATTGTCTTACTAATATTGGAATTTAGCTTGAATAGTCGTGCAGATTCATAGTCGGTAAGCAGATCTATAACTTCAGTCCTGAAGTTGTGCACATTCAATTTGTTTTTTTTTTTTTAATCCTTGGTGCTCGACCATCAATCTAAAAAAAGCAACTTGTGCAATCATTTTTATAGATTAATATATTTTACATTATAATAATGTAATCCAAGAAAGATTTAAGATTTCGCTGCATCATTTAGCATACTAAACGATACGATATATAACGTCCAGCTGTCTCTGACAAACGTATAATCTTCACCACTTGGCCTCGTTTTAATCCAAAATATCTGGCCACTGGATCTCCGGCCTGTATACGCATTAGCATATTTTCTTTCAATTTATAACGGGCTAATAATTCCTGCTTTTCCTCTGGAGTCATAACAACATGTTCGGGAACCAATTCATGCTCTGTAATGTTAGTAAGTAATTCCGACTCTAAAAACTGCTCTAATATATACTTCGGTGCCATATCCACAAGGCTTTGTTTAGCGGATGGTGTCATGCCGGCCTGCACAACTACAATGGCACGATGAATGTTCTCTTCCTGCATGCGCGTGCAGTATGTTTTGATGGTTTTAATTCCGATTTTTGGCTCATCCGGAAAGAATACAAACATTTGATCGGTCGGGTCGTCGTTATGAGCAACCAAAACAATTAGATCTGAGCGTGCTGGTCTTTTTTCACTTGGCTTATCACCGAACATTTCTTTGAATTGTTCAAGCGTCTGATCTAACTCATCTTGGGTCACTAAATAACCGCGATCATGACTTAACTGCATAATGGTTTTACGTATTCGCCATAGTTTGTACGTTTCAGCTTCATCGTCCATTTTTTCTCAAATAAATCAATTATGTCGCGTATTCGTATGGATTTTAACTAAATTGTTCTCGAAATCTGCCCATTTCCGAAATTTCTCACTCGTTCTTCAAAAACAACATATGTGTACCATATGGCAAAAGGTATTGTTTACTTGTTCCGTTCCCATTTAAACGAAACAAATCTGCACACTTACCCAATAAGTTAATATAAAACGTCTAAAGGATACATCGCAATGCTTGCGTTATGCGTTGGACCCAGTTACGCTTGCGTGCGTTGCTAAAACAAAATCACATGGTTGGCGTTTGTCGCATAAATGCTTATGAAGAGCCATAAAATTAATTAAGTGAAAATTTTCTTTGAGATATAATTTTCCTAAAGCAAACAACGAAAAAAAAAAACATATTTCTTGCAAGCAGAAGACGATTTCAATTATTCCCAGTAAGTTCACAATATGTTTAATAATATCACATTTTTAATTGATTAATAATTTTTAATATATGGAAACATTTGAGCGATAGAAGGAAATGAATAGTGACGATTTAATTATTTGAATTATGATAATACGAATGATGTGAGAACGTTGGCGCCGTCATGAAGGAAGAAACCGGAAAATAATAAAATTATTGACAAGGAAAATAAATTTAACTATCCTCCAGCATGAGGAAATTGAGCAGAACAACACAATACATATAATGTATAATTTTTGATGTATTGTTAAGAAAATGAGTGAATGATTGTATTAGACGAAGTAGTATACATAGAATTACGTAATGATCACCATTATCCGATCAAGGGATTTTAACTTACTTGTTTTGAAGATGGAAAGTTGAAAACGGTCAAATTAACCTGTAAAGTAGTTCTAGTCTTAATTCAGAGCAGAATGTGTCAATGCAAGTAATGTGATAAAGATAACCCTGCCTGATTTAAGAATATCTTGTTGCATCGGTATTTACGCTTGCAATAAAAATAATTTTATTATTTATTTAAACATTTAAAAGGGAAAAAGTAACAAAACAAAACAAAAAAAAAAAAAACAATGAAGTTATTAAATTTCCAACGTGATACCGTACGTATCGGCTTGCTTTTTGAAACACTCGCTATACTGTTCGGCGACTTCACAAGTATCGCCAACGATATCCAACGCTGAGCACATGTCAATTATTGTACTAGCAATCTTCAGTTTATTCTCATCGGAATTTGTAAATTTCTTTGCATGTTCCAGAGCAACAGATTTCACCAATTTGCCATTAGCATCTAGCTGAAGAAGAAGAAGGAAATGAAGCGTTGTATTTAAATTTTATAATTCAATACAAAATAAGAATCAATGCATTGGAATAAAGCTTGCCCTGAAATATCAAAATATTATTTAACCATAGAACAATACATGGCTTGAAAATCGTATTAATATATATGTGTAAAATATGCGGTAAATGCAATCATTGTGCTCAGCAGCGCTTAAAAATGAATGATCACTTTTCTACCTAACGCCGCTAGAAAAAGCAATAGCCGCAGTTTACAGATTAACTTATTCAGTTAGTTTCAAATGTGATGGAAGGAACGATTTCAACGTCAGTAATATCGTTATATCTTAAATATGTAAGTTTTTATTGCGAAATAATGTGCTGGTGTTGAAAAGAAAATACACTAATAGTATCGATAGACGAAAAATTGGAAATCCTGCGAAAACATTTAGATCGATTTGTCCTCTTTAAAAGGGTAACGTGCGAAATTTAGAATGACGAGCGTAGGGCGGGGAGGATATCGCATTATCCTTCGCAGGCACTGATCATTTCTGAGGTCAATTTAAGTCTTGGCTATAAGAGTAAGTGGGAAGAAGTGCAAATTTTTTTAAAACTTTAAGAGCACATTCTGGTGTTTAGTGACCGCTAGTCATGCACTTTTTTGTTCTTATTTTTCGCAACTTTGCATCAATTTTGCTATTGCGAAGCAATACTTGCAATAATGTCTTATAAAGCAGGGTTGTTAAGTAACTCAAATCACAATCGTCCGCGATATTGCTCAAAATGGGAGTGCATATCATGTCAAGGTCAGGGTCATTGACTTGTAATGGAATTATAATGGAGTCAATGGAAAATTGAATATGAATTGAGATGAGTGTAAGTAAAACTTACCACTTCGTATTTTTTCATTAAACATGCGCGAAGACATTTGCCTTCCTGGCCAGCAGCTTGATGTTTGTGTATCAAATCTTGAATATCCGCTGCAATATATAATCCGCTAATTATATCAGCTTATTCGTGACGCTATTAAAATCTTTTTTCAGATGAACAAGAATGAGAGTTATATTATAGAATATTGCGAGTATGCGGAGTAATGTTGAGCTGAATGGCTCAATATTTGAATAGAGAATAGAGGCACCAGAAACTAAATTTCGATTTGGTCTGCAGTAATCGCCTATCTGCAATTGCGCTCGGGCAATGGCATAAGTTGAAATCGTATACATACGTAAATAAACAATGGGCAGAAAAAATTTGATAATAAACAGGAACAACCCATACGCACACGCCCATAACAACTTATAATGATGGTAAAAATATTTGAGTAAACTCGGAGCGAGAAAATTTGCTTTGTAACGTATATAAGGTTTCGCCCGAAGACGAGAACGTTTTTCTTCTTACTTGTTCGCAAGAGGCTTTGCCTTTCATCCACCGTCACTTTTGATTCGTTTTCACGGATTATATTATTACTTTACAGGGATTATTATTTATTTATTAATTTATTTATTTATTTTTATTTTTTATTTTTTTTTTTTTTGTTATATTAACCTTCTTTGGCTCCTACTTCCTCACGGCACTCATTTGCCAATAGTATAAATTTTGCGATTTCTTCCTGTACATCGAGTTCCGCTTGAACCGAGAAAATACTAACCATTAATACGGTTACGATTAATAATTTGAACATATTTATTTTTCTCATCTAATTTTCATAAAAAATTATTCTATTATATATTAAATCAATTTAGCTAATAAACTAATCATTTGTTGATCGTTCGTTATTTATAGGAAATTTTATGAAAAGAGGAAAAAAATTTATTCCATAATAACTATTGCATATAAAATGATTTATTCAAACAATACAAACCTTTCATCTGTGAAATTATAAGTTACGGCCGCAAACTCTTCAAATTAAGCTAATATAATAATGAAAAAAAAAAAAAAAAAAAGAAGAAAAAAAAAAATAAATAAAGAAACTTCACTAAACACAATCGCATCCAAAAACCTTCAATGCTTCGAATGATTTTTAAATTAATTCAAAAAATTATTGGGAAAAAAATCAAGGTGAACTGGTGTGAGCGATTTCGATTTGAAAACTTACTCGCAAAGCGATATTTTACTTCACTTATAACCGACCAGAAATGCCCTATAAGGTATTTAAAACAAGCAGGTAATGCATGCATAGCGTATTCCAAACCTGAGAAGATTGCGTTTATCGCACAACAAAAAAAATCTCGGAGTTAGTGCACGGAAAGGCGCAAATTTTTAAGTGAAATGTATTGCCTATACCCTCGTAAAACAACAGCTAGATAGACATTTTGTCAAGTTGAAGAATCAAAAGAGACGAATATCAATTTTATTATATATCTTTGGAACCGATTAACCACCACTCCAAACAATGGAATACGCTTCGTATTCGAAATCCCATGTATAAATTCAAGTCCATTTAAGCTGCAAGCATTTTAAGCCTTACGAATGAATCTCTAAATGCAATATACGCAAACTAAATTGACGACGTACGGAGACCGCGAAAATCCAAATAAATCAATTTAGGTAATCTTTTCAGAATGATCCCATATCGGAAATCGCAAAAATATTATCTCCTGTAAATGTTTGCAAATTATTTCCATATTTAGCTGAGATTAAGCTCAGATCGGACTGCACCCATTGCACATATAAGGACCAATCAGACGCAGTTACCGAGCAGCATAGATTAGATATTGTCGCAAACTAACTTAAATTTCACTTATGTATATGTATAGTATGAGCATGCCGGCTGGCACACCTTCATCTAGAAAGCCTAAGACCCCAACATTCAATATAGAAATAAAAATACTTCCGTATAGTAGATCTAGAAGTAATTGTTTATCCATTTTTCTAGGAGATGAGGTTACTCTGCCTGCGATCTTTCCCTTATGAAGATTTATCCATCAATATGAGTTATTGCGCCGAAGTGTATACAAGATAATTTTTGGATTCTTGCGGACAAACTTTCGATCTAAAAAAACACTGAAGACCGGGAATCTTGTCTTTTCTGCTTTGTTGTTACAAGCGCTGTCCAAAGCGCAAATCTATGCGATGCAGGCTAAGGAATAATTAATATCGATGATGCTGCTGAATATCACGCAAACTAAACGGTCAGTATGGACCGCGGCCATCAACTTGCTCATGCAATTGAACCGCAAGGGCAACGCAATATGTTAAAAGGCATTTTATCGTCATCAGTCGCCAGCATGACGACGATAAAATTCATTCACGAAACGTTAACAAAACTAGAAGAGATTAGCTACACTCCTCGCAGTAAGAACGCAACTAAGAACATCATAATCACCATGACCAACCATTAGATACCCAACACCACTTCGCTTAGTATGGTTGTTCTTCACTCGTTTCAATGATAATGCAACAAAAATTACACATTCTCATGCAAGGCCGCACACTGAAGGACGGCCAAGACATCATGTAGGGTGATCGAAACTTAGCAAACTTAATTTACATGCTTAAGATTTTAGTAATTTCTTAGTAATTCTAGATTTATTTAGAGCGGCCTCCTATATAGTTGAGTATAAGTAAAAACCGTACCTGATTCAAATTTTATATCAAATTAATCTTACGAAACGATTTTCGTTCTTAAAAATTTGAAAAAATTGGCATTTTTACGATAAAGAGGTTAATTTTTTATCAAGAGCTTTTTATGAGCCCGCGATCAAGAAAATAGACATACGTTGTCCAAACTTGCTGGCATCGTTAGTTATATCAAATTATTATTGTGCATGAATTCTAATCAAAAAAATTCGCCTTTTTTTATTATGCATAGATAGATACAGTTTGCATAGGAACGGCTCTATGATAGACGATTCAAAAAATTACCCCTTACATCAAGTTAAAACGCCTAAAATACTACTCACTTAGCGTTTTTTTTTCGCGAAATTCTGAAAATTACAATATTTTTTCATATCAAAGCTATCTTATCGAAGGCAGATGTTATATGAGGAGTGAACGAAAAAGTGCACAGATCTGAGCCATTTTCAATTGCGTTTGTCGCTGGGGCCTAAGTACATCAGTGTACCTAATTTCATGGGAATATCTGGAAATACATGGGCAGATATTAGACAGATAGACGGACAGATAAGCTTAGGTATAATAGACAGTGGGTCTATCTCAAGCACCCTTTTGGGGCCTAAATTTAATATACCTTGGTATTACAAATAATGCAGGTTATGAGTAATATGTTTTTGATCGTTATAAACGGACTTAAGTCACTTTCCAAAAGTAATGAAATAACTTTTTCCATTTCCATTCTCCATGTCGGCAATGAGAAGAAATGATTAGTGATTTTTATTTGATAAAATTAAAAAATATTTCACTTTTATTTTCTATTAAAAAATAGTTACATTAGAATTAATGTGTGTGTGTCTTGCGATTAATTTTATTTCTTTTTCTCGAATTTGCGTAGTCGGAGGGGATAGAAAATAATTTATGATATGCACGCGCTATATAGTGTAACAAAATTCAATGAATTGTTGTGTTTGAGCATGCGATCGGTCCACTTTTGTCGTATAGTGAGGTCGAAGCAACGTGCTGGTCCATAGTTTTGTTTCCTCACTCATTGTTTTTGTGTTAAATATTTTATATGACTCAGTTTGGAAACATCTCATCCAACAACAATTTTTAACCAATTTATCCTCTCTCCGTCAGTATTTTCATTATCCATATACCACATTTTATTCTTGCATTGACATCGCTAACAGGATGGCACTTGTAGGTTTGCTAAGGCTAAGGCCACAATTAAACGATAATAAAACATGAAAGCCGCGATTTCTATAAAATTATATTCACCACAACCACATTCAAACTCTCATAATGCAGCCCATCGGATTATATCACATAGGTCTATTACTTCGAGGCATATCACGGGATAAAAGATTTCTTATCCGCCTGAGTGGCCAGAGTAGGCAAGAGTCTCGACCAGCAACTATCAATGGTCGTGGGTTCAAATCTCAAGTGCGGTAGAGTTTTTTAATAAACGGGAAAGCCTTGGATGCTAGTGCTTTAAGACTTTAGTCTTGGAATTTATTCTCTGACTACATTTATAATAATAATAACAATAATAATATTTCTTATGAGCGGGGTAAGTAAGCTTCAGTTCAGAAAACAGATTCAATTTTTAATATTTTTATATCTAAAATTGATCCAGAGCAGCTCTTTAGCAGAGCATTTGCCCGGTAGGGAATTCAGATCGCCTAACGTAGGGGTTATAATGAAACCGTAACCGTTTGTATGGAGAGAAAGTCTGTTTTCTAGTGGGGGTTCAATATAGGGGCTTTCATGAAAAGTAAGCCTTTTTATGGAAATAATGTACAATTTTTGGTAATATTATTATCAAAATGACGAAGTGATGCACTACTACATCTAATGGTTAGCCTTGCTGACTACGATGTTACTTGTTATACCCACTGCTGAAATATAGCGAATATACTCAACTTCTTGTAATTCTTGCAGCATCCAAACAAAAAGTTTCGAGACTTACACAAAATATATGTATATTCTTGGTCTACAGCAAATTCTGAGTCGTTTTAAGCATGTCTGTCCGTCTGGCTGTGTAATGTGTGCTGTAAACATTTTCTCTTGACCGCAAAAATGAAGCTATCGACAGAAAGACTACAAGTTTTTGAACCCATGTTGTTGTTGAAAATGGGCCAAATTAGTCGGAGCAACAAGTCCGCAGTGAGGTGTAAACTGAATGCAAAGCCATCTTTCTAAACAAAAACTTATTTGTGTTTTTTTGCTCATTACTAGCAAATTATGAAAGATAAGTGGATGAAATTTTCCACTGAATGTCACATACTTTACGAAAAACTCTACTATTTATTTATATATTATCGGCCTAAAAATGCGTTTAGTTTAAAAAAAAAATCACGATCTGGTGAATTTATTTATTGTTTGTGTTAATACATTAACACCAGCGATATGGGTATCAAATAAAAGAACTTTGGTCTTAATGGAATGCGACAAGGTAAGTGCGTTAATTCGAAATTAATTATGGTGGACGTTCCGACATCGTAGAAAAATTTTTTCTTAAAAATACTATCCATATGAGTGTCAAATAAAAGGGCTTGGATGGTAGAATATAGGACATCATGCTGTGGTACTTTAAATTTCTTTTAACCATACATTTTAGTGAAGTGAATGGTGAAATATATACATTTTTTCTCACTCATGGGTCGCCAAAGATTTTAATGGCGGTAGGTATGCGAGTTTCGGCCTCACTCGAATATTGTATTCTTATCTTTTTTTTTTTTTTTTTTTTTTTTTTGTTTAGTTATAGGAGAAAAGAAATAATAATATTAAAAATAAAGCTGAGAGTCTATCTTTACATAAATCCTTTTCAGTCGCGACAAAGACGATAAAACTTATCGTGTATAATATCCATGAGACATTGCTACAATTCACTTGCGTTTATTAAAGATTTGACAACCTAGCAAGCAGAGTTTGAATGCACACTCCATTCACTCGTAGCACGAGTTTGCGCTAGTGTATGCAATGCGCGGAAGGACTTGAGATAGAACCTTCTTTTATTATACCCATCATCAACATCACCATTTCAATCACTTTCAATGTGTTCAATTTCCAGCAAGCAACTTTCGATATATTTTGGTGAAAGTTGGTACATTGACGTGTTTTGGCCCAAGTATGAACGTTTTTGAGAATGACTCGAATCGATCCATTTTTTTAGCGCATTTCCCATATAACGTCATA